TATTTGCATCAAATTCCTCATGAGCTTCCACACCAATCTCGATCAAGTTCTCCTGTTCTGGCTGGATTTGGGCAATTGGGGAACACGAATAGTCACTTGTAGTTGTATCCCCCTTAGTTAAACTATCATTTGTTTGTCTGTCAAAGCAGTAAGTCTGAATTGAGTCCGACGAAGAGAGGCCAAATGGTGAAGTGGGCGCAGAAGCCGAGGGCTCATAAAAGGTGGAATGAGCCAAAGAGTCACTGGTACTGAAATCGACTGTATCAACAGCTGCACTAAATATGAAGTGGGTAGAATCTTCCACTGAGAACAGATTCATAGTGGAACAAAGGCGGTAAAAGGTAGATAGACTAAATCCATCTCTAGTGGTGCTGAAGGTAAGGACCCATTGGCGACCTTCAGCGGCTGATGGCAAATTTCGAATAAGCTAAGGAAAGAAAGGATAATATTATCAAATGCAGGAGAAAAAATTTTTGCACAAATGATAGATACAAAATCTGGAAAGCATGGAAAGAGGAATAAGATTAGACTTGATTAAGATATAAGATGGAATGTGATGAGATAGAATGAGATGGGATGACATAACATGAGATCTAACGAAATGATATACGAGGAGATGAGATTATTTTAGCTGTGATTTATTGCAAATTAAAGGTAATATGATAGATGGGAGTTGAATTGGATAAATTATATTTGGTTAGATTTATTTCATTTAAATCATTTTAAATTGGAAAATATTTCACTACTTACAATTAACCTACTTCTCTTTATAGAGGTTGTTTGACCTTGTTTTCTCAACTTGATCAAATTGGTAGAAAGACTTAGAGGAACGCACCTTGTATGCTCGATTATTTCCAAAGGCCGACCGTGGATGTGGTTTCGCCGACGTCCACGGTCCACCTTTGGAAATGATCATGCATACAATGGGCTCCGGACTAGGTGCGTTCCTCTAAGTCTTCCTACCAATTTGACCAAGTTGCGAAAACAAGATCAAACAACTTCTATACAACAAAAGTATACTGACACTACACAAAGGGCCACATCATCTTGGTCTTCATGCCTACTTCTCTTTAATTTATTTGTAAACTTTCAAGCGAATCCGTATTAATATCCTTTTATGAGAATCTATTGCCACTTTCTGCCTAATTATTCCACATTATTCGTTAATTAAAAAAAAAATAATGCAAAAACAAATAGAAGGTATACTTCCAATCTTATTTGGGAAAATACAAATATGTTTGTTTTCCATAATCAGTCTTCTTACGACCGCTTCTATTACATACATAATGGAATAAATCTCATTAATAATTATCCTAAAATGCATCGACTCGCCGTTTGATTGTGCTATGAAACCCAACCTTATTCGGTTTCGGTATTGGATTCTCTTAACCAATCCACCATTAATCTTTTCGCTTACATTCAGCAATTTCATTTTGTCATATTGTTACTTCTCTCATTCGTATGCATCTGTAGAACAAAAATACTTTAAAGCCTTGGATAGTTGGTCGTTTGTGAAGTCGTTAGCAAAAACGTTCAAGGCATCGTTGACGAAGCTGCGGCCAAAACCCTTTGTCTAGGAAGACGAAGAATTGCGTATAGCATTTGATTTGGCTGCTCTCTCAGTTCACTTGGTTGGAGAGCATACCTTTCGCGTAAGACGTGATTCTCTCCTATGGCAGAGTCTTTTATGTCTGATGAATACACGAGTATTTAGCACACAGGTTGTCCCAAAGAGGTCAGTGTATAATTCCTCTATCTCGGAGGTGAGCATCATCATTGCTTCAACGATAATCACCACAGTCTTTCGCGATCTAGTCCTTCTGAGCCAGCATCACGCACCGACGAAAGACATTGACCTAAACTTTTCGGAAGAGTTGAAGGTGCATTCAACATTAATCTCTTCGTTAGTGGCTGAGCAATCTCATAATATGGTGGGGAACTTGCAGAAAGAACTAAATGGCTTGTGATTTTATAAACCATAAAGCTATAATCAATGTCCACAAGTCGCTAGGAAGGATATTAAATTGACTTGCTTTCTAAAAATCAATATTCTCATTAGTTTTTCATATTTTTCCATTTACATTCATGTCGGAAGTATTATAATGAAATTCACTTTCACGATTTAGTCATTTCTGTCCAAAAGAAGTGCCAGATTTTCCTTGCCCAGTGCAAGAATAAGCATTTAATTCCATTTGATCCACGTTCATTAAATTTCATTAGATTGGATTAAATCAACTTGGCTTAACTGGTATTGAACATTGTTAAAAGTGAATTAATGCAATACGTGCATATTACTATTGTCATTGGATTCAAGAAAATATTCACTTTACCCAATTACCTATTTTTTGATTAGGAAAGTTAAATTTCTTAGTATTGTGAATACTGCTAAAGCATCTCAAGTAATATCTTAGAATTTAAGACCACAATGTGGCAAATTTGTTTGCCACAATTTTCTTTGATTGTGAGGAGTTTGTTTGACTCCTTTGCTGCCATTAGGTCATGTCGTCATGGCCAGTTCGATGAATATACTGTACTTCGCCTCCTACGATTTTTGTGGAGTGTTCTCTTATCACTGGGCCGGAGGCTGGTACATTTTACCACGTCTTGCCAACAGTTAAGTCGGCATCGTGAGCGTATAGAGTCATCGCTAGCTTCAAAATACAACCCGTAAAGGTTTCAACTGAAGAATTAATTAAATTGCTGGCCATTGATGATGCTTTCTGTGGAAATAGACCGTGTTTAACTTGTCTCATTTGATCGAAAGAATCCTCCAACTTGGATGGATAAAGTGCTTTTTGTTTATTACTACTTAATAATTTTAGGAGGTATTCTTTGGGGCCCATTATTGCAGAAGTTAAATTCATGGCTTTTAAGTTAGCTAAATAACACTAAAG